CATGTGAATGATTTCTTCAGCAGAAAGGAATCTTAATAACCAGGTAACAAATAACCAGTCCCGTGAGCATCAGCCAACCTCTTTCCCTAGCCAGTCCTGCCCCTGGCAAATGGATTCAAGAATAAAATGGCCATGGCAACAGAGATGTGCTTCTGTCTTAGTAGTCAGAGGGGTATCTCAACATGTTCCAGACCACCAGTCAACTAGAAATATCACCATGGCAATAGGACCCTGACTTTTTGTGGGATGGAGCTTATGTATGGATTCAGAAACACTGACTTCTACTTGCCCAGGTTGATCTGGCTACCAACACTGCTATAGAGCAATGTGCCAAGAGCAGAGACCAGTACTAAGCTTCGAATATAACATCACTCCCTGGAAGAATCAGCCAGCTGATTATACAGAACCATTCTAAATCGATCTATTATCGCTGAAATAGATACTATGAGTATGGATTTACCTTCCCTGCCCACAAAGCTTTACCAAAACCACTATCCATAAACTTAGGAAATTTTACATTTGTTGTTACAGTACTCCACACAGCACTGCTTTTAACGAAAGAAATCATTTTACAGGAAATGATGTGGGATAATGGGCTCATGCTTATGGAATTCACTGGTCTTTCTAGTGCTGGACCTCCCAGACTAATGAAATTATTTTTTTTAAATTAAACTTTCTATTTTGATACCATTGTAAATACATATTCAATTATAATAAATAATATATCACCGTTTACCCAGTAGTCCCCATGGTAACATCTTATAAGACACAGGAAACTGATTTCACCAGTTTTTGTACAACTTTATCACATGTGGAGGTCCCTGTATTCACCACAGTCCAGTTGCAGGACAGTTCCAGCACCATAAGGACCCGTTGTGTTGTCCTTTTACGGCTCTCCATCTCCCTCCTGCCCACCTCATCTCTAACATTTAGCAACTTCTGATCTGTTCCCCATCTTTATGATTCTGTCATTTCAAGAATGTTATTCAAATGGAATCACATGGTACAATACATAACCCTTTGGGACTGGCTGTTTCCACTTAGTATGATTCCCTTGAGAGTCATTCAAGTTGATGTGTATCAATTGCTTGTTCCTTTCTATTGCTAAGTAATATTCCATGGTACAGATGGATCAAAGTTTGTCTAACCATTTTTCAACTTAAGGACATTTGTGCTGTTTCCAGTTTGGGCTATTCCTTGTAAAGCTGCTAAGAACTTTTGTGTACAAGTTTTTATATGAAAGTACTATAAGTTTTAATTTCTCTAAAATCTTTACTCTCTGCCTCTGTGTGCACTTATTTCCTTTGGGAGAACGCAACATCTCAACTAGGCCAGAGGACTTGTTGAGTCATCTACTCCTGGATGGGGCATCTACCATTCATTCTCTGTCCGTTGTGAACACCAGTTTCCAAAGCTTTAAATTGAATCAACACTGTTGAATTTTATGCCCAAATCCCTACAAACCAGGCTCCACTTAAATGTTAATTTCCTTTCTTTCCTGTTATTTAATGCCAATCAAAATAAACTTGAGAGTTTTAATCGTGTTACAAAATTTAATGTAATTAAAAGAAAAATTTAATATAATCTTAGAAAAAACAAAGTAAAATAAAATCCAAAGTAAAATAAAAAGTAAAATGAAAAAGGGAGTGAGGGTAACGAGCAAAAGCAAGACTTAAAAAAGATATATAAGTAGTGAAAGCTAATGCTGACCTGAGAAGTCGTAAGAGTCTGATTGCTTATAATAAAATCATATGACCACCCATGAAATAAATACACGCAGAATATTTTCCTCTTTTCCTTTAGAAAGGTGTACTATTATTTATAAGCATTTTATTGGTGTTGATAAAAGCTTACTTTTCCTAGAGATTTATATCTACTTTAATATACTCCTTCACTGTTTTTATATTAACTGGTCATTTCCTTTAAACATGCTCTGAAAATGCTAGATTGCACTGTGAAACTGAAGATTTCAGAAGATTTTTATTACAAACTCAGAAATAATGCTCCTAGAATTCTCTAATGTAAAACCAGGAGCATCATGGTTAAAACCAAGAATGATTTCAACATTCCTTTACATATTAGTTTTTAAAATACGGGTATAATTTTTAACTGACTTCTATGAAAACAGTGTTAAATAAAATTATATGATATTACTACTATATTAATTTAGCATACTTAAAAATAATATTAAAGATATGAGACTTTTTCCTGCTTATCATGAAACAAATCCATTAAATAAGCTGTATTTTTGGGTTTTCCCAGTATTCTGAAAATATAAAATATGTTTAAATATTCTGTGGTCTGGAGTATTCCAGCATTTTGGAATAAAAAAATACCAATAAAAGTATTCATGAAAAAGTGAAAATTAACATTTTAAAAATATTTGCATAAAATCTATTTAATATATCACTAAAATGAAACTATAAACTGCCTTGTAACATCAATATTCTATATAGATAAATAAAATGTTATTCTCCACCTTAAAATAATAAAATGTGCTATTGTGTGGCCTTAAAAACTCTTGCAAATCATTTTTCTCACTGTGCTGAAGAGTAACATGCCACCCTGTACCCTTAAGAAATAATAATACTCATAAAGTAGAAAACCAATTCTTTGCTCAACTATTGCCACCTTGTGGCTATAAAATGGGTGATCAGCTATACAGCACAGCTCCCAATCACCCTATCAGGTTCTACAAGTCTCTAACAACCTAAAAGGATTAAAGGTTTTAAATTTTTTTTTTTTAATTTTTAAAAAGAGACAAAGGTTAACACACTTACACTATATATTTTTTACTAGTCCTCCATACATGTTATGCTGGTTACAGAAATGAAAAGAACATGGTCCCTACCCTGGCAGGGGTGGGGTGGGGGTTTGGGCAGGAAACTAGTTGAACAGATTTGTACATCAATATTAAAGGTAATGAAGCAAAGGAAAAGAAAAGTCGGTAAGTCAGCATGGGAAGAGGGCACCCCTCCACACAGAACAATGGTATATTTCATGTCATTTAAACTTGACATTCTCTTAATTAGTAACCTTACAAAAATTTGAGATAAAAAATTCATGAACTGCCCTTGATTAAATTCCTACCTGAAGAGAAAAGTTCCTTTTAAGGATAACTTGCGTGGCTCTTGCTGACTATCACTTATTTCTGAGGTGTACATACAGACACACAAGTCGGCACTTCAAGGATAAGAATAAAATCAACGGGTACAGACATCCAGTAAGAACCATAATTGAAACCAACACTGACCCCAGAGCTTACACTCTGAAACACTAATAATGTATTTCAAAACTTACCAACCAGTTTGTGAGTTTTTAAGTATAATTACTTGTACCTAATTAGCTTATATTTATATATGCATATATAAAATCTCTGAAAGTTACCACTTTATAAAAATATACCCTCCAGTCTTGAGAAAATGAGGAAAAAAGAGAACTTTTACATTTCCCATAATAACCTTCAGTGCTCTTTAAATTTTTTAAAGCAAGCAAATATTGCTTTGTAAAATTAAATTTTTTCAAAACTCCTGAGCACACGATAAAATGAACTTTATTCATCCTTACGATACTTTTCAATTAAACAGCACCAGAAACTTCAAAAAGTAAAGTGAATCCCTGGCTGGGTGGCTTAGTTGGAGCATTATCCCATACAGCAAAAGGTTGCAGGTTTCATCCCTGGTCAGGGCTCATACCTAGGTTGCAAGTTCCACCCCAAGTCAGGCAGGCACAGGAGGCAACCTATCAATATTTCGATATTTCTTCCTCACATTGATGTCTCTCTCTCTCCCCTTCCTCTCTCTCTAAAATCAATAAAAATATCCTCAGATGAGGATCTTTTTAAAAAATAAAGTGAAGGTTTCTTTCACAAAATTGAATCTCTATCAACACCTAATAACTTCATATTTCTCATCATATATATACTAAGTCAGAAAAGCACTGAAAATTTCCAATTAACATTAAAATCAAAAGTATTTTCCTTTATCTTATTACTCTTATAATTGCTTTTGATCAATTATTATTCTGGATGACGTCACAACTGATATGCTCAAACCTGCACTATTTTTCACTTTAAAACTGTTTTTGAAGTGCAAATATGCACTACGTGTACAATTCATTCATTCACCCCCTTGGCAAACATTTACTGAGAGCCTACTAAGGGTCAAGCACTGTGCTGGATGCCAAGCAGAATTTTTTTTTCTTTTTTCTTTTGTAATCCAGGACACTACCAGTCTGTGAACTGTTTGGTACTGGTCCCCAAAGAGACAAGGAGAGAAACTGAGTTTGTTTTCATGCAACTTAGTATTGCCAGACATCCAATTTCACGTTTGCTGAATCTAATAATTTTTAAAAATCTGGCTCGGGTTTATGTCTATTTCTTCCATTTCTTTTATCTACTAATTCTATTTTATTTTATAAAAGTATTGCCTGAATCACATGGGAATTTTTTAAAGTCATCTACAGAGAAGTGAGGCACACTATTAGGTTATATTGTTTTGCTAAAGTTCACAGAGACAGAAATTCTCTCATTTACCTAGCTCCTGAATTAACGAACATGAAACTTGCACGGCAGGCACTAAGCACCACGCTAGAGCTACAGTCTAAAACGAGCCCAGCCTCTTCGGTGTGAGTCTCATTCGCCTCGAGTCCAGGACTCGCCCGCCATCGCCTCAAAAAGCCAAGAACAAAAGAGTGTGGATACGGCAGGTCCAGCACGTAAATGCCGCACAAATACACAACAAAAGGAGGAAAAACAATAACCACGCGCCCCGTTCCAAGTAGCTCGTGGGCCAAGAGGCCGGGGCCGCATTTCACTCACTAAGGCACGCCACGCCCCAGTACCTCAGCCCAAATGCTCAAGACCAGGCTCCGCCCCGATTCCCGGCTCCACCGCCTAAGTCAAGGGCCCGCCCCCGACTCTGGGCCGCACCCCCCCACGCCGGCTCCGCCCTACTCCCTGCCCCGCCTGCCGCGTTTCTGGCACAGCATCCGCGTCTCACCCTCGTCCGCCGGACTTCCTCTTTGCGCTGAAGCTCCGAGTGCCGCGCTAGGGCGCTCGCAAAGCCGCCAGGGCGCGTTCTACACTCTGTGGACTCAGAATTGTCGCCCCTGGAGCCACTCTCAGTGCCTACGCCTCGGCAGGGCCGAGAGAAGAGGTGCAAACGCAGGAAATGAACCTTGGAAGTCACGGCACTGGTCCGACATAGCGCCGCCATTACGGCTTCAGCTAAAACCTTTGACCTTTAACCTCTCCGTCAGCGTGCTGGTTACGGGTGGAGCAACAGAAGCTCCTCCCACTTGCTGCGAAGCACTAAACGTCCGCCTGAGTGGTGCAGACTGGGCGCGCGGGGAGTTAGAAGGGAGATAGGTAGCATTGGAAGACTTAAGTCGGTGATTAACGGTCACTTCTGGCGGACATCCGCTTCGTTTAGCGTGGAAAGCGTTTTTCATCCCAGGAATTTCTCCCTCTCAGGCATCCTGTGGGCCTTGTCCTATTGTAAGTTCTGTACTGGCTGGTCCCGCCGCCTTCGCCTGTGCCCCGGATGGGCGCAAGACTCTTCCCCTACCGCTTTTCAGGTGTTTGTTGGAACCAAAAATACTATCATGCACGCTATTTGCACTTCTTAATATGCCATATAGTTGACTACTGTAATTTTGTTCAGCTGCTCCCCCGACTTGGTAAATTCTGTAAGGGCAAGTATTTTGCTATTGGATGGTTGACACCGATTCAGACATTTGTGAAATCCTGGATTCAGCTTGGTTTTGCCTTTTCTCCCTTCAGTCTACCCACATTACAAAAATACTAATATTTCCGAGATGTGTTTGTCACCTCTTCCTATCTATAATCTTTCAGGCAATTGAGAGATTTCCTAATGTGCCTAAACAAGCAATACCAGAGCTCCCCCGCCCCCGTTCACTTTTCTTTTTTTCCAAATGTTAATTCCCAGAATTTGCCGACACTCTTCAAAACTGAGCATAACACCATACTTGAGGAAGTTTTGCGATTAAACTGTCCACCCATCTTCTACTCATCAATTTTATATTAGTTATGCGATTATTTATATGTAATTAGTTCTTTGTGGGGGAGGTGGCAAGTACCTTTTCCAATTCATTTACAAGTACTTTGACAGAAGGGATTTTTATGTATGACCACAACTCCTATTTTAATAATGTGTTCATGTTCTTCTCAGTTGTATATTCAGACAAAATACAGACCACTAGAAAATACACTAACCTTTGAATGGTGCATAATTGTATAAATCACATGCTTACAGATTTCTTATTAGCCAACTCTAAGATAATCCTTACAAATTCAGTAATGGGCTTAAGATAAATTCTACCCTAGGTAAGTTCTTCCTTCTTAGCACTTAAACCATTTATTTTCCTTGATCATTACTGAAGTCTTGGGTAAGACATTTTTGCATTATTCTATATGGCTGTTGCTACTTCCGTCTTCCCTTCAGGGAAAAGTGTGGTAAATTATAACAAGCATTGGCCTGTGACCTTAAGAACACTCAAGTCTAGTCCTGATTCTAATCCTGACCCCAGGCAAGCCAATTTAATGTTAATTTGTTTCCTTACTTGTAAAAACCAAGTTATTAGACCCTGTGTTAAATTTAAGGAAGTGTGTGTAAACTGAACTACATCAGTATCTACAGGATAAGTGGGATTAGTCATATCCCAGCTCTTAAATTCGATAGATTTATTATGTTCCTTTCCTGCCTCAGCCAGATAAATTTCTAGAAGATTGTGACAACAGGCATTTTGAGACTGATCCTCAAGTTTTTAATATATGAGTGAGTTCATGCCAATTGAATTCAGGTTTGCTAAGTTACCTGCCTTTGGTAGAGCATCAGAAGCATCGAATGAGAGGAACTGTAGAGGACTGGCCAAATCAGCAAGGAGATAGCCACACACTGTCCTTGCCTATTCAGTCACTGACTAATGTCAGCTCTAGTGCATTGTTTTAACCTCTTCATGGCATCTTAGGGATTCTGATCCTGCTCTACCCCTTGAACCACTCCTTCTTTAACAGGACTCTTTTTTTTCCCTTATAGCTTGCAAATTGTTAGTATGCTTTGTAAAAACATTAGTAATGGCTGATGGCAAGGAAAGTTAATAGAGAATAGTTCAAGTCCTGGCTTTACATTGCCTGCCTGTGAGCTCATCTATAAAAAGGTGACACTGCCATGACTGGTGTGGCTAAGTTGGTTAGGCATCGTCCCACAAAGCAAAAAATAGCTGGTTCCTTTCTGGCTCAGGGTACATGCTTGGATTGCAGGTTTGGTTCCTGGTTGGGGGCATACAAGAGACAACAGATCAATGTTTCTTTCCCTCTCTCTAAAAATGAAATAATAAAAATGTTAAAAAAGGTGACACTGCCACACCCTTGAGTAAAATACTAAAGGAAATGAGTGTATTGCACAATGCCCAACACCTACTGAAAGCTCAATAAATAATGAAACCAAGAGGCTTAGATGGAGGTGACCAGGTGACTAGAAATTCATGCCACTCAAGCATGCATGAAAACCTGGAAAAAAGGATAGGGCTAGCCGTACATTAGAGAGATACTAGTATCACTGTAAAGAGTCTTTGCAGCCAAAGAGATCAACAAGATTAATGATAACATATGTATTGGGTTGGCCAAAAAGTCCATTTAGTTTTTTCTATAAAAGACATTTTTCATTTTCATCAATAACTTTATTGATTTGGGTATTTTCAGTATGTTGGCTGTCTCCGGCCAGTCATGGAAGAATGTTGATCGCTCTCAATGTCTCAGTTTGATCACTGTCAACTTCAACTGGTCTACCCCACTGTGGAGCCTTGTCTAGTGAGAAATCTCAGCACGAAACTTCACAAACCACTTTTGACATGTTTGATCACCATGGCACCTTCTCCATACACTGCACAAATCTTTGCATTTCAGTTGCATATTTACCTTTATTGAAATAATAAAGAGTAACATGTTGAAAATGTTGGGTATTTTCTTCTATCTTCATTATTAAAAATGGCTACACAAAAATTCACCTATTTTGGTAAGCTGTTTAAAAATGCATGTTGATTTGACAGCTGTTGCAAGTACAATCTAACAAAATTGTTTCAAACAAAGATCAAGACAACTAAGCACTACCAGAACCATCTTAAGGAAAAAAACAAATGAACTTTTTGGCCAAACCCATAGAAGATGAGTGAGGATAGGCAATTACATTTAAGGACTTGGAAGAAAGGAATACCAGAAAATAGTCAAACTGGAAAATAAGACCAGAGACTCAAGCCTAAAATCCAAGGGGGAAACTTTAAAGCACATTGAAATGGAGAGTGTTAAAGTGAAAGATACTACATACCTAAAATATTCAAACAACAAAATTGTTCTAGGAACACCACAACAATAAAATAATCACTACTAGCCAGCTCATTAAGTAATATCAAAATTGCATATGAGAGTTGGCAAGAATTTTAGTTGACCTCTAGCATTTATTTATATATGAAATCCTGGCACATAACAGGCATATGCAGGCCCTGCCCTCCTATGGCTTACAAATAGTTATTTTGGATTATTTTTATTTCAGAATAGGAAAATTGTGAAATCTAAGGTTTGCAAGTTTACTTAAAAGTGATAATGCTTTCTTAACTGTCACCCAACATGGTCTCTGTAATTGATACAATGGGATAGTCACTAATGGCCAGATGTCTTTTTACTAAGGGCAAAATCTGGTTTTTCATTTCGGTTTTAAGAGCTATAAAGAAATGTATACAATATGATTGAGTTTATATAGAATTTTAGAAAATGCAAACTAGAGTGAGAGCAGATGAGATAAGTAGAAGAGGGGCAGGAGGGAGTGATTACAAAAGGGCATAAGGAAACCGGTGAATGGGACAATGGATATGTTGATTGTTGTGATGGTTTCATGGGTATATAAATATGTTGAAAAATATGTTGAAATGGCTTCAAATTTGAGCCATTTTTGTATTTCAATTAAATCTCAATAAAACTGCTTTAAAAAAAATGTGATTGTGACATAGGACCTTATGCAGCATCGCCTCTGACACAACACATACTGAAGATGCCTCTGAGTGGTCAGCATATAGCATTCTGTTTTGTTTTTGGTTTTTAAAAAGATTTTATTTATTTTTAGAGAGGGAGAGAAACATTAATCAGCTGCCTCTCAAATACTCCCTGACCAGGGATGAACCTGACCTGGAATCAAACCAGTAACCTTTCACTTTGCAGGACATGGCCCAACCGAAGCACACCAGTCAGGGCCTTTTTTGTTTGATACACTGATTGTTTTGTTTGATAGCTGCTTATGGTTTTTTCTATGTCTAGGACATGGAAGGGCCTGAGAAAAGTTACATTTTTCCTCAACAGATAGGTAATACATAGAAAAAGACCCATACCCAAATTATATAATATTTATTGTTTACAAATACTATACAAAAGAGAAATACACTGTGCATTTCTTAACAGACCCAGAAATAGTGATTCCAAGTTAAACATGCTTTTTCTCTATTTTGTTTCTTTGAGTTACTAAGATGATAATCCAGTGAGTTCTCACTTCCATTGATTACTTTGGTCTCAAAAGTATAAGAATTCCTGCTTTATTTCCCACAAACTCTATGAACCAAGGACATTCCTTTGTATGGAGAAGACAATTTCAGGGGTTATTTTATTCTCTGATGCTTCTTGAGTCCTCGAATATCTGAGATTTGCTCTCAAATTGCTGTTTTCTTAAAGTGACAAAACAATAGAACTGTAAGTTCATAACATTGAATCTTCCACAAAGATCATTTTGAATAATTTTTCTAAATCCACATCTATTTTATAAATTCATCCTCCCTCTACATTTGACTACTTTTAAGGGGCAATTTACTGTGCTGTAGATTAAGTCATTTTTAGATTAAATGTAGTGATTCTGATTTCTTCTTTCACAGCCATCTCAATACCCATATACACCCAATCCCATTTTCCACCCTTATTTCTATCACTTCTCCCCATAAGATAGAGACTTGAGGATAATTCACTTAACTAAACTGCCATCTTACTCCATTTTTGCCTTGTTGAAGAGACAGTAATGGCAGGATGCTTAGGAAACAATGATGAAAAGTTATTTTGTTAAAAAACCGAAATATGACAGTTGATAGAAAACTAACTTAACAGTTTATGCTGAGTAACCACAATATATCTATTAAAAAAAAAAAAACCAACAAATCCACTCCTCTGGGACAATGCTTCAATGACCCTTGCCTTAAAATCCTCTATAAGAAAATAATTTATAATATGTGCAATGATTTAAAGCAGATGGTTAAAAAAAAAAAGCCAC